AAAAAAAAAAAAAAAGAATAGCAGAGAGGACGTCCCCTTCCTCAAGTTGGCCAAAGGACTAGCGCATTGCTCAGCCTGAGCTCACTCTCCCCTGGCAGGGATAGCTGTCCTAACTGCAGGGAGGGTGAAGGCACAGGGAGGTTGCTGTTTGTGGCCTGACTGTTGCACTTGGAAGCAGGAGGCTGGAACTGGTCTCTCTGAGCTCAGGGCCTCTTTCCTGCCTCCTGAATCTGTGGGCTGACTCCAGGCCCTTTTAGCTCCGGCACTTGCAGGATGCAGGGTGTTGAAATAGATGTGCAGCCTCCCCGGAAAACAGGGAATCTGCCCTGCTGCTCCCCCCCAGCTCTTGAAGACCCTTCCATGGAAGCAGCCTCAGCCCTACAAGGCTCTGCTACAGGCCAGGGAGACACAGATCCTCAGCTGACCAAGTCTCCCAGTCCAAACTCTACTGCAAGATTAACAGTGGTGTTAAAAAATAGAATTCACAATTTTAGAGCTCTGACTGGCTTTACTAAATGATTCATATGTCAGGCAGTACCCCGTGTAGACGCCTGTACTACAGGGGCTTACAAAACGCATTGTGTCTGGAGACAGAAAGAGGGTGGACAAGATTATTAGGTTAAAAAAGGATTATTTTGATACAGAATGCCGACCTCAGTTTCCCTCAGCCAACACAAGGAAATAGTTTGAGGAGAAGGCAAGTAATTTAACTTCTGGACAAGCAACAGACTCATATCTGAAAGACCACTGTCCTGCTCTTCAGCAGAGTGCAGCTGTATTTGTATAAAGGAGTAAAACAAACGGGAGATGGGCGAGGCCAGAGAGGTGGCACCTGCTTGCTTTGTTAACACCTGATGTTTAACTTCTTTATCCTCTTAGGGCTGGCCTTTCCTTTTCTTAGAATGCAAGAAGACAAACTCCATGAATGCAACAGACACAGATGCTTATCTGATGGAGCTGGAAGAGAGAACTGTCTTGTTTCACTGCACCAAATTCAGGTAAAGCCACCTTCCCTCAGGAGAAGGAAGGAGGGTTCTTATCACACAGGTGACTGCTGGTGTTGATTAGAAACCTCCAGATTCAATTGACGTCTGGTTAATATTTCAGAGAGGTGGAAACTGCCATGGGTATTAACCATTCGCGGGGCCCGCATGAAGGACTCTGTGCTGAGTCTGGTTTCTTTTCCATTTTTAACAGCACAAACTTGTGGGCAACTTGTTTAAGTGTTTTACAAATCTTAACCCCTTGAGTCTTCAGAATATCCTAGGAGGGCAGGTATTCTTTTAATCTGTTTTACAGATGAAGAAACTGAGGTACAGAAAGGGGCAACTTTGTACAGTCACAGAGTTAGTGAGTTGTGTGGTTCTGCTACCGAACGCTGGTCTCAGTTTCCCTCAGCCGATAAAAGGAAACAGAGTTTGAGGAAAAGGAAAGTAGTTTTTTTTTGTCGACAAATGAGGAGGGCAGCAAAGACCACCGTCCTGTTCTTTGGCAGGTTACAGGGCTACTTATACACAATGTTCAACAAAGAAAAGGGGAGGTGGGCGAGTGTCCACAAAGGGGAGGGAGTAAAAGTTAGTGCTGGGATGGAGACCAGTGGGCATCAGCCTTTATTTACACAAAGACAAACAAAATGGGGAATCAGCAAGAGTAATGGGGAGGGGGGAGGGGGCAGCACAGGGAGGAAGAGGAGTTGAGGAGTCAGTGCAGGTGCTGGTGAGCTTTCTCACTATTTGCTTTTGTTTGGGATTTCCTTTCCTTGACCCTAAACCTGTCAAAAGAAGAGAAACTGCAAGGAAAGGAGAGAAAAAAAGTAAACCCACAGTCAATTAAGAGCTCTGGGAAAACCAATTTCATTATAAATTTGTCAAAGGAGGCAAATCTGCAGTGCTTATCTGAGAGCCCATTTACTGTATCAGTTCGAGAGCCCATGCTGCTCGCCATGATGCCATTCTCTTAAGAAAGAGGAAAGAGCTCCTGACCTGCCCGCTGCTCCTCTCAGCAGTGTCCTTCTGCCTGTTCTGCTC